TTATTATATAATATTGAATATAACAATATTCATGTTCTAAAAAATATTTTTATTTAAAAATAAAGAATAATTTTATGCAGTAATCACAACTTTTCTATATCATGAAAAAATTATTGTCTTGAATTCAATAGTAAAATCTGCTATGAAGAACTATTGGTATACAGTTGCCCCTGGACATGTCCGCTGATCGATAAAAAAAAAAAATTTATTATATAATCAAAGTTATCAATTACCGGTTGGCGCCACAGAATCAATTTCCCGCTTATTTATAATCTTACCGATCCACCAATAGAAGCAGGCTTCAATGCTATTAGTCCAAAACAGATTGTGATAATGGGCGATGGTGCTGGGGGAGGTCTCGCTATTGCTACATTGCTAGCGATACGCGATAGTGGTTTGCCGATGGTTGCTGGCAGTTAGCATTCATTGATAAATTTCTATAAATGCATGTGAATAATGAAATTTCTTACATACTTCCTAGTCACCATGGGTTGACCTAACACAAAGTATGCCATCCATGTTTAGCAAAGGATGCGACAAATATGATATTATTCCAGGTCCTAGTTCCTTTTTCTCCGATTTTTTGCTCAAAAGCAATTTATCGAAAAATCAACCGCACTCTTTAAAAAAATCAAACAATCAAACAAGCCAAGGATATGGCACGATTCCTTGGATCGAGAATTTCGAATTCAAAAATACGCCTCTAATGAAGCCTTATCTATTCTTTATGTATGGTAAGAGTGAACTGAAAACCAGGTACAAATGAATCTAGAATTCCTTAATTTAATACGTGTATCACTCATTTTGTAAAGTCCTTTGTGTGCCGAAAATTTGGGTGGATTGCCGCCTATGATATTCTTATTTTATTGTTGGGATGATGCTGAAATTTAGGGATCTTTATTTAAATACATTAAACTCTAATCCTAAAACTTTTTTTTAAAAAAAAATGCACCCAAAAAAATTTTATAATTTATAAATTTATACATAATATTATAGACTGCAGGTGATGGGGAGAGGATACGTGACTCGATTGTTTATATTGCATTTAAGGCTAGTCAACCTTCAAAGTATTTATTGCCAAAGTATAATTTGAAAAATCGCCATTTAAAACACCTACAAATGTTACACTTGAAATTTATGAAGATATGCCTCATGTATTCCAGGTAATATTAATTATCTCTTTTACTATAGTATCTACTTGAATACATTATCATAATAAATATTATACAGGTGTACGAATTCAACGAATTAGCTCAATTGTCATCTCAACGTGCAGCAGAATTCATTCGTGAAACTGTTGCATCTGCCTCAGAGAAATTCACATCAAACAAAATTACTGGCTCGTCAAATTACATTAAAATAAATGAAAATAAACAAGTTTGTTCATTAAAAGAAAGTGATTATTCAATACTTGAATGGTAAAATTCCAGAACTACCTGCGAAAAAGATAACTAAAGAATCCAAAAATCAGTAAGTAAAAATAAGTATTTATGATGTTTTTTTGGATATGAATACGTGCTAATGTCATTTTTTGAACAAAGCTCACTGGAATTTGTTACATGTATTGTAGTCATACTTGTTATAGTTAAATATTTATTCTAAAAAGTCCAGAAGAGATTAACTATTGCAAGTCTATATCCCTTAACGTTAAAGACAATTTTGTGGAAATTGTACATTTTTAAAACTTTTTATTATTATATATATCGATATAGCATAATTAACGAGCTTGATAATAGGCTACGTAATAAATTATTATTGACCTAAAAAATTCGATTAAAAATGTAAGAATTCCACGATATTTTTTTTACCCACTATACGATAACTTATAAATATATCAAATTTACTTTTTCATTTAAATTTTTTATGCATGTATAACTTTGTAATACAGTAATTTGAAATATTATAGAACAGATAAAATGTTCTGAGCGAAACAAGGCCCAAGATAGTCAAAATGTACTCCAAACTCTAATTGGGAAATATAATAACAAAAATAGGAGTATAAAATGACAATTCTCTTAAATATATGAATATGGGTTTATTACGGTAATAAATACATAGAAAATGGGGACTTCGTAAAATTTTTAAAAATATCAACGTTTATAAAAAAACGGTAAAAAAAAATTCACTACAGCATTAAATAATTTGTTTGCGTAAAGGAATTCTTCCAAATTATATCGATATACCGATACAGGGTATATTATTATTACGAGAATATCTCTTAACGTTAACCTTCGCTGTGTATTGGTAAATATTCGTGTAACTAGACTAATTGTGTTATGCTAGAAATGGTCTTAAATTTTATTATTGTGAAATGTTAAAATTTTTCGAAGTTTAAATAATTGTCCAATCAGAAAAAATATATATTATATCTTCATTTTTTTATATGCGTTAATTCATCGTTACTCTTTTAACAAAAAATTACTTACAGAAACATGGCACATGTGCGTCGTCTTAAAATTTAAAGTAACTTAAAGAGGTTAATAATTTTACTTACTAGATTATTTTTTATACTCCACTTTAAATAGAGATTGGGTGGCCGTAGAAAAAATGTGAAAAAAGGATTTCAGTTCACTCTTATGGTCGCAGGTGAACTTACTTTTTCATGCATATAAAGTTAATCTACTAAAAACAGACAATAAAGGTGAATAATTTTTTTAATATAAATTTTACAGGTGTTTCAGGCACTGGTCGCTCCACTTTTGTCAATACCCTTTGTGGTAGTGAGGTTTTAAACAAAAAGCTATGCGATAATCCTGAATCTGCACATGTAGAAGAAGGTATTCGCATTAAACCAGTAACAGTTGGTAAGCATTTATATCTGCATTATTTTAATTCCTGTATATATGCATGCATTAATTAATTAATTATCTTAATAGAATTGGAAGAAGATGGTGCAAGAATTGCTTTAACAATTGTAGACACACCCGGATTTGGTGACAATATAGACAATGAATTTTGGTAATATTAATTTAATTTCTTAATAAATTAATAGATTTTATGTCAACTGTAAGATTGATAGATTTATGTTTAATAAACAGTTTTCAAGAAATTATGGGCTATTTAGAAAGACAATATGATGATATTTTAGCTGAAGAATCAAGAATTAAACGTAACCCTCGATTTCGCGACAATCGTGTCCATGCACTTCTTTATTTTATTACACCTACTGGTCATTCGTATGTATCCATATTCACGTTTATATTCTTTTGTTTTTTTTTTTTTTCAGAGAAAAATTTTAATTATTTATTTAACTTATTAGCCTTCGTGAGATTGACATTGAACTAATGAAACGTCTCAGCCCGCGTGTTAATGTAATTCCGGTCATTGGCAAAGCCGACACATTCACACCCGCAGAGTTGGCTGATTTTAAAAAAAGAGTAAATATAAGATTTTTTTTTTTTTTTTTTTTTTTTTTTTGGCTTTTGTTATTCATTATGAACTTACTGAGATTAATTTAGATTATGGAGGATATTGATTATTATAATATTCCAATCTACAACTTCCCATTTGATGTTGAGGAAGATGATGAGGAAACTGTGGAAGAGAATAGTGAATTACGGGTACGGTTGATTTATTAACTTATTAACTCAGTTTTTATTGATATTTTTGCATTTTTTCGTCTAATAGTTTATTTGTTTCACATAGGCCCTCTTACCTTTCGCTATTGTTGGTAGTGAGGAAGAAATCACTGTAAACGGAAGAACTGTTCGCGGACGTCAATATCCGTGGGGTGTCGTTGAAGGTTCATAATTTTAACTACTATTATATTTTGATCTAATATTTCAAAAATTATTTATTTATTTATTCAATTTTATTTACAGTTGATAACCCACAGCATTCAGATTTTGCCAGATTAAGATCGGCACTTTTGAGGTATTTGCGTTCAATATTTTTATACATTTGTTATGAATCTTAAAACTATTAATAATAATCCTTCATTATTATGATTATTATGTACATTTATAGTTCTCATTTACAAGACTTAAAGGAAATCACTCACGACTTTCTTTACGAGAATTATCGTACTGAGAAACTTAGTCGAGGTGTCGACGATACTGATGAGTATGTTTATTTTAAATTTAATTAATGTTTCCTTTGAATTATTTATATCGATTTACAATATTTTAAATTGTTTCTATAGGGATATCGGTACCTCGGAAGGCATTGCTACTCAAAGTGTTCGATTGAAGGAAGAACAATTGAAACGTGAAGAAGAGAAGGTAAAAATATGTTCATTTAAATTTTATTTTTATTTTAAAGTTTTTAATATATTGAAACACCTAATTATAAATTTTTAGTTGAGAGAAATTGAATTAAAGGTCCAACGTGAGATATCAGAAAAGAGACAAGAACTCTTGGCAAAAGAAGAAGCCTTGAGAAACTTGGAGGCGCGGCTGGCACAAGCTCAAGAATCTCAAGGGTCTTAATTTTTAACATAATTTATTTCACTTTTTATTACGTTATGGATTAGGATCACCTGAGTATGGGACATTCGTTATGATTGGCTAACAAATCACGTATTTAAATGAATCGGAAGTTACAAGTTTTATCAATCATATCAATAGATCAATTGAAGAAATTCAATACGAAAGACGATAATTTATTAATATAGCTATATTATTATTTTTTATTTTTTATTTTTTAGTCGTTATTTCTGTATTTTACTAAAGATAATACTGTATATTATTTTTGGGTTATACATATTATTAATCAATAATACTTATTTCAATAAATTAATACATAAGAATTTATTAAACGGCACAAGTCACGTGAATATGAATTATTTTAATTCAGATGCAACAAAATACTTATGATATATTCATTGTTATGTAAATTTTTTTTTCTACACGATGAAAAATCTTTAGCTTTAACAGAATCTCGTGTTGCTTTTTACACATTGCACTTAACGTTTCAGGTTTAACATTAATAATTAACAAGTAAATTATCCTTCAAAATGAAGAATAAAATTACATGTACGTAAATTCAGGAAATTCTTTTATTGGTTGTGTTAAAAATTCATCTCGCAAATACAGAAACCTCCTCTGCAGCATGATATATCCTCTGATCGATATGCTCCAAGACGCTAGACTCTATTTCTGGATTTTTAGGAGTTATCGGTGTTTGCATAATTATACTTGATAAAAATTCTTCTCTACTAATTCCATTTTCTTGAGGAATTATACATGATAAAAATTCTTGTTGTTGCTTTGTGTATCTTTCAATTTATAAAAAATTTCATCCATTTGCAGAACTATTTTCTAAAATATATATAAAAGTTAATTATTTGTGCTATCTCAGGTTTAAGATAAAGAATTTATATACTTTTATTTGAAATAAAGTTCTAATATATATTCAATCTTATTGTTACATTTAGAAGTTGATATTACAACTTGACTTATTAAACAGATATATTTTACACTATTTAAAATTAGATCAAATAGCAATAGAGTTGTTTTTCAATCTAAAAATAAATAATAATAATAAATAAAATAAGTAAATTTTAAATAAAGTAGATAAATAATAAATATCAAAAATATAAAGGCCTAATATATTAATTTTTTAAAATAATTTAATAATATAATTATTAGAATAATTAAATTTTTTAGTATAGTATATAATTATATTATTATATATATCATTTAAAGACTATGTTAGTTTATCTTTTTTTTTTTATACTTAAATAATCTTGTTTTTATTTATTAAAAGAAAACATATAATAATATTATAACAAAAATATAAACTTAGGTCTGGTGATCATGTATAGTGGTTAGATTATTAGACTGCTATATAATAGGTCTAGAGTTCAAATCTTATTGTTGACAAATTTGAATAATTTTTTAGACCTTGTGATATATTATAGTAAACTCTGTTCATTTCTGGAGATATACTTCTGTAAATTGAGTTGTACTAAATTAATTGAAACTTGAAAATATAGTGTAATGTTATATGAATAAATTTTGATAGAATATATAAGCAGAAGACTTGCATAGTAGAAATCCTAAGTCAGTAAAGTAGTATAGCCTTCTGACAGGACTATATCAGCTAAAGTCTGATCTGAGAAGAAAACTTAGTCTAATAAAGGTAGAAGGTTTTGAAGTCTCTAAACAAAGAATAACTAAGACTAGCTAGATACTAGAAAAAGATTAGGTCAACTGACCAGTAGAAAACTATAGTAGAACCTGAAGTTGTATGAATATCTACAAAGGTCTAAGCTAGATAAATCTATAAAATAGGTACAGACTACTCTAGTAGGTTTGCTTCAAGGTTAACTAGCTCTGCAATACTAGCAATATATCTAATATAATATATTTTGAAAAAATCTAAGTCATTCTAAATAAATAGATCTATAATGAGCTAATTAGCTTAAGTGCTTAGATATTATAGTAATATTAGATTAGATCTGTATAGATTAATAAATAGAGTATTTAAATAGATAACTTACAGGTAGGCTACAGGTATAGTAGTATAGTATAGAACTAATCAAGTGGCCTAATACTTATATAGCAAACTACTTAAAATAGATAATGATTAAAGTTGTATATGTAGCTTGTTATACACTCTTCATGTAATTACAAACAATAGAGATTATCAATGTATAATCCTATTTGCAATACTAATAAAATTTCTTCAGCAATATAAGCTACTTTAACAACAAAAAAAACAAAAAAACAAAAATATAAACTTAGCAAAATTAGCTATATAACAGTTCTTTTTATGTAACTTCAAACTTACTTAGCTATTTAAAGATATTCAAGTATGATTTAACTATAATAATCAAATTTTTCTTCTAAAAAAATAGTTTGTTTAGGTAAAGTTATATTTTCTTGATTTACAAAAAGTTACTATATATTATTTATTAAAATTGTCTAATTCTCTAACCTTCTTCTCTTAGTTTTCTAAGTAGAAAAATTTGATTTTAACTGTTTAACAAAAAAATAATAATAAGAAAAATAAAACAGAATTATCAAAAAATAGAAATAACTACTGTCTATACAAAAATTAAAAAAAAGTAAATAAAAAAAGAAAAAAAAAGTAGAAAAAAAGATAATTTAAAATAAATATATTATTATAGTCTATTCAAAAGCATAAAAATAAAAATTATTTATAGTACTAATATATATACTATAAATTTAATAGATTTTTTTCATAGATCCTAATTTTCAAAAATAAACAAAAGCTGAAAATACAATAGTATAATAACTTTTTCAAAAACTAGTATTTCAATAGCTAAATAAGCAATAATACTAAAGCTAGAGTACCTTTTCATATTCTTCTAGAAAAAGTTTTAAAGAAAATGAATAAAAATTACTAAAGTTTTTAACTAAACTTTTTTAGAAAAACTTCTAAACAACAAAATATAGAAATTTGCTGATACTAGAAACTGCAGATCTTTTAGATTATACAAAATATATTACATAGATTTAAGAGTAAATAAATATATGTTTAATAAATACAAAGTATATACAAAAATTTTTTAATAAAACTCTTTCCCGTACATCACATTTTACATATAAAATTTTTTGTACAAAAAAGAAAAAGTTTACCGGAAACTACTAACTAAATAAAAATTCTTAAAGAAGGGCAAACACAAACTACCGGAGTGCTAACAAGCACTCCACACAAAA